TTTTTTTTTTTTTTTTTTTCACACTGTCTTCTGCGAACCAAATAAAAATCCCCAGTGCGTCACAACCGGTCGATAAGTCGAGGAGTGTTTATCGGAGCAAAAATTATCGTGCCAAGGTTGAGCGGAGTGTACATACCTACTCTGGAATCAAAAGCTTTGTTTTTTTTTTTTTTTTTTTTTTTTTTTTTTCGTACGTTATCATATTATCTGTGTGAGGAAAGTTTATAAATCACGTCTTTGTCGAGTCCGAGGCTACATGCTTGTACGCGTTTGCAGTACTGTCATGGAAAGAAATTCAACGTGTGATAAAAATCAAGTTCAACTTAACGCTAGAAAAAGAAAAAAATGTAACTTTTACATGATGAAGCAATGCTTATCGCCATTTAAGAGAATTTCGATCCTTTCGATTTATACCGAGGAATGTTTTGATATTTTTTTCGGCTGACATATATGAACGTTACGTCTTTGAGAATTCATTTTTTGGCCCAATTAAGCTCAAGGTAATATTTTTACTTTTTTTTTTTTTGTGGTAGAGAAAAACTGTTAATTCGATTGGCTCGAGGTACGTTGTTTTTTCGGCCACCCTGAGTACCTGGTAGACTATTATCGGCTAATTTTCACGTTTATCGGGTCCATTAAATCATTATCCATCGTAAAATGTAAACCCATTGAAAGCTTTACTCCTACATTAATTGGATCTACAATAGAGTATTCTCGTACAGTGTCGATATTATTCACCTCAATCATGGTTTTACATTTAAAGAACTTTTTATTTTTTTATTTATTTTCATTCCTGGACCATCAGAACAACAGCTCATGTAAAACGTATAAACTAATAAAACAACTTCGACCACATCCACGAGTTGTACGCATAAGGTTTTGTGGGTAAAATTTATAAGTGTACTAGCCAAAAAAATCATGCATACCTAAAATAATACTTTACATAAGATATAGTTTCTCTTACCCCATGGAGCGTAATGATGAACGATTAAAAATTATAATTGAAGGAAAGATAATTTTTTTAAATATTCAATTGTGGGCTTGAAACATCAAATTTCTTATGCACTGCAAATATATATCAATACTTGTAAATTTTGTCATCCTTCAATGTAACTTTTCCCACGTTCAAACAACTCGAGCCGCACTTCTGATTTATACACTTTGACCAAAACGTAATGGATCGTCTTTTCCATGGGTAAAAATAAAAAATACCCACCTCACGTGGTTTGCGTTGCAAGCTCTCCCGGATGCATGGAAAAGAAAANCGAGGTCCAGGGCCGCGAGACCATCGAGTTCGGCGAGGGCGCGTTGCGGCACCTGGACCAGGCGGCCCGACACCAGGGCCAACGACTCGAGGCTGGACCGCAGGCTGCGGAACGCCGTCTCGGAGACCTCGCGCAGCGACGAGTGCGACACTTGTAGCTGGCGCACGAGCAGGCCCGCGGGGAAGACGCTGGCTCGGAGCTCCTCCAGTCCGTCGTCGAGCTCGTGCACCCTCACCGACTGCACGAGCGTCTCTACGACCCCGACAACCAACCGTTAAAACGCGCGTTATCATAGCTACTCTTGTTAAGTTTTACCAATCATTTTAATACCTTTTCCGCCCTCGGGTGGTTTTGGGAGGCTGGTACTTCCTCGGGCGAAAAAGCAGTTTTCCGCAACTCGTTCGAAAAGTCTCCTTTACGAACCTCTCGGTTCGCAAACAGAGACTTTTCAAACTCGTTGGAAAACTACCATTTTTTTTTTTGTATAATAAAATAGTAGCACAATTCACGAATAACGTCCATTCTGCGTAGAGTATAAGATATTTCCTACTGCATATATATGTACCTACAGTATAAATGAAGCACCGCGTGACGTATCCGATGCCGCAAAATTTCTTTTTCCATATAGATGATATCGGTAATGCCATTACACAAGGGAGAATATCGAAAAGGGCCCCAGAGGAAATACACCAAAGTTATTTCAAGGATTCCAAAAGGGGTAACCATTGAAATATAATGTATATTCATCTTTGGGTGACGTCAGGAGTTCCAAAATTCTCGTTGTATAGTGACTCCTCGTCAATTGTGTATATTTTAATCGAAACGCAGCGCGACCGAGTAGGTACTGGCTTTTATAACCCGAAATAAACGTTACGTCGTGTATCGCATGTATGAAACCAACGCGTGACTTACCGTGGGACTTGGCGTGGGCGACGACGCGGGCCAGGGCCGTTCTGAGGGAGTCCTCGCTGGGGCCGGCGCACTCGAGGAACAGCCCGTCGGCAAAGTTGTAGCAGGAACAGCCGAGCAGGGCATCCGGAGGCGGGCACTGGGAGTCCGGGCGGCTCGCGACGTTGCACACCAGCACGAGCTGCAGCGCGAGCACGAGCGCGTCGGCCCGCTTGCGTTGCATTATCTCGGCAGGGCTTGGGACATCCTGATGGCCCGGCGGAGCTGCCGCTGCACACTGGCCCTGCTAACAGATGCGTTTAATATATATATATATATATATATATGTATGTGTGCGTGTAGGGGCAATTTATGGGAGAATTAGCGGGATCTGCAGACTCGGATTTTCACTTAAATCTATGTGGTATGGGGGGACGCGATTCCGCGCGCTCTGGGCTCTATACGTTTATGCAATTCCGAATCTCCGAAGCTTAACGTCTCAATCTTTCTTTTCCCATTGTCTTGTGATTTATTTGTAGGTATCATTTCCTCGCTACGACGGCACCATTGCGCAGCTTTGCACATTTGCTAATAGCATTTAACTGTGTGCGTATGGCAATAGCTTGCGAATTTCCCAGTCGTCTGTGGAAAAATTATCACGAGTGTGGGAGATTAATATACTTAAATACACGTGGTTCACTGAAAATCCGTGTCCTGTAAGTGTTGAGTCGTTGTTTTTCAACAGTTGTGACATTGAAGGAAAAAAAAAAAAATGATTGTACGGGCTTTTGGTTGTAACTCGGTTCAGAATAAAGTAACTACGTCAATATCTACTTGGGTCAATATCACATAGCGCTTGAAGCAAAATTTAATTTGAGACATTTATTGCGGCCGATGGAATCACTGAGTTTTCAATCTCAACTTGAATATCGTACCTCTCGACCGCGTTAATATTTTAAATTCAACTACCAGTGCTAAAATTGAACTTCCTTTTAAAGCGCTTTTCATAGCTCTTCGAGTTGATGATCTCGGTTAATTTTAAACTTGGAGAAAAAAAAAAAAAAAAAAAAAAAAAAAAATATATACTTTTTAAAAACCCCATATAAATTTTTACGGTATACTTTTGCACGCGATACGAAAACACGCAACCAAACGTGTCGTACATGAAAAAATACTTTTATTAACATATTGTGCCTGTGAAATATTATTCAGGAATATCTATAACAATTTGACGAGCATAATGAGATAAAAGAAACAAAATGAAGCATCCAATCACAGTGAGAACTACTGTTCTTGGGCGACTTCCCAACCAGTTTCAACTAGTGAAATTGAAATAAAGAAAGAATCTTGACAGTACCGAGGATAAAAATAATTAAAAATACACATATACTCACAAAATTCCAAGCCAGCCGAAGCGAGTCGAGGTTCTCGAGTTTCCGGAGTGCCGGCATGGGAAAGTGCTTGAGCCTGTTCTCGGCGAGGTCGAGCTCGGCCAGGTAAGGCTCGAGGCCCGCGAAGGCGTACTCGGAGACCTTGGCTATCCGGTTGGCCTTGAGACTGAGCTTGACCAGCTTAAGCCCGTAGAAGCAGTACGAGGCGAGCTCCTGCACGAGGTTAGCCTCGAGGTCCAGGGCCGCGAGACCATCGAGTTCGCCGTTGCCGCCGAGGTGGAGGGTCAGGAGGTTGGGCAAGCTACGGAAGGCCCCAGGGGAGACTCGGGATATGCCGTTGCGCCCGAGGTAGAGGTTCTGCAGGCCGGGGAACGCCTCGAACTCCTGGCTCGTGAGGATGNAAAAAAAAAAAAAAAAAAAACATGGACTGTAAAATGTCGACATATTTCAGAGATTTACCTGCAACGTGTTGTTATATAATGAATTTACAACTGTTTAACGTGGCACGATTGAATACACGGTTCCTTTGTTTAAGCTTGTTTTTCGGGCAAACTCGGATTGGCCGAGTACAAAGTGCAATGAAAATCACACATGGGGAAAGTAAGTAGAAGGAAAAAGAAAAATGTAAAAGGGTTGGAAGACGAGAGTGGATGGAAAAGCTTGTCCGGAGCAAGAGAGAAGCGAAGAAGAAAATAAAAGAAGAGTCATGCAGGGGAATAATAGGTACATACAGGGGCACGGTAAAGTTGTGTATATAGTTGGTGGTCGAGGAGGGGCTGGAGTCCAGTGAATAATTTTCAGCGATGAAAAGTTCAAGACGAAGGGGGACTCGGCAAAGTTGAAAAAAGTCTCTTGCGAGACTAGCCCAACTTTATAATCTTTATTCTTCGACACTGCAGCGGTGGTATAGTCGCACAGAGCTATACGTGACGTATACTTTCTTGGTATTGGAAAAGAGTTTCACGGCTATTAGATCACCTGTATAATAATGTTGAATAAAAAATAAAAGCGAGACCAATATCCGGTCGCTTACTGGATATTTTTTTAAAATTTATTTACTTTTTTTTTCGTTGCAGGGTCCAAGGTACTATAACTTCCTATATAGCACTTGAGAACCTAGATCATTGTAAATCTGCCGAATTTTCGCTCGATTAATCGAGCAAGTACACTGCACCCGCTCGGGTCAGCTGTATATTTTCCGTGTAACCCATTACCGAAGGTCTTTTTTTTGTGCCTATGTTGAGGGGGGGGGCAGTCTTTGCAAAATAACTCTTGCACGCCCCCCCCCCCTAATCCTGATGCACTGCCCGATTCGAGAAGAAAGAACGTGGCTTTTGTGTACATAAACGTGCGCGTAAATGCAGCGAATGCGAGGCTTAAACTGAACCTTTATAAATCACGAAGCCCCCGAAGAGTTGGATTTCCTTTTAATCCCTCGTTGATGAAAGAATTGAACTTTCTCTGTTGGTTTTAGCTTCGGAACAAAAAAAAAAAAAAAAAAAATAATAAAAATGGTCTCGCTTGCAGAACGAGCTCGAGAATGCGCGCGTATGTTGTACTCATACGTCCGGAGACCTATAAGTACTCACCTGCCGAAACGTCGTACACGGATGATTGTTGGACTATTGGAAGGGCAGAATAGAATAGAAAAAGTTGCTTTACCATTATTAGGTACTGGAGTTGGTCGAAATCGGTGCAGGGGAATTAAGCATCGTAATGACGTTTGTCAGGAAAGCGCGAACTTTTCTTTTACTTTTGTTATCCAGTTCAGAAGTAACGAGAACGACTCTTGGTATACCACCGTCAATACATATGACGTTACGGGCAACGGATCGAATCATAAATGGTCATCGCGTTATTTTCAATCCCGGAAACGGCACCGACTCGAGCTGCTCATATATATATTGAGCGCAGGCTATATATACACGCTGCACATAATTATATTTCCCTGACACACACGCCCATGATGGATTGTGAACTATTTTCATTTTCAACACCATCCTTGCGCTCAATGGTAATTTTTTTTTTTTGTTTTTATTTTTTTCATCGAGCAAAGTGACAAAGTATCAACCCTTTTTTAATGAACTTCTTCTTTGTTCGGAAAATCGGGCACAGTATACAGAGGGTCACGGAGCAATAAATTTCGGAGCGACGTACACGTATGAATGCTCACCTTCTCGACCGAGAGGAGAGTAAATTTACCACCAGCCCAACGGGGGAGACGAAGAGGAGGGGTCGAACAAATGAACTCTCAGCGTGAGAACTCGCGTGTGTACACCCCGGGGTATATATATATACACTTCTTGACAGTTGTCCGGTCGCATGGAGAGCTCCGATGCGGACCGACACGTGCAACACCGGAGCCTTTCGAGCGCAGCTGCGTACCGGGGCTTGGTGACCGAGGAACCCCGGAAACGAGTTTTCGCGAAGATTCGAGGCACGCGCCCGTGCATTTCTACTCTCCACTTACAGCGCACACGGGGCGGACTGTGGTTGTCGGGAGGATTCCCGTATATTTTTGCATGATCGCGTCCCAACGACAATTAGCTGCTTTGCTCGTATACCTGAATACATACCTGATGTGTGTACGTACATCACTCGCAGGCTTGATATTGCTTGGTCGAGTTATACCTAGGTACGGATGGCTCCTACGACTATACACATTTACACTGTCATTTCGAAGGTACACCGAACGACGACTACATGTACACCTACAGGATGGACAGAGTACATTCGAAACAAAGTTTGAAAGTCGTGCTTCGCGCTCCGGGGGGCTGGGGGAGGCTCGATAATTTTTATTCCTCGCGAGAAGCCTCCCCCAGCCCCGAGGGTACTTACTGTTACTATACCGATGGAGGCGTTGCCAGTGGTAATTCGATAATGCGAGTGTTTGCCTTGAGTATTCAAGTCAGCTGCACACCTCTCTCTCTCTCTCTCTCTCTCTTTTTCCCCCGAACTCGGTAATCTAATAAGGAACTTTCGTGGCGACGTAATAACGTTGGATCGCTCTTGGGAAAAGGGCGCCGGTGGAATCGGTATACATGTACATATAGAAAGGAGGGGACCGAAATTGCGAGAGAGAGAGAGGGAGAGGCTAAGGTAGGTATAGCGTTCTATTTTTGATACTGCCATTTCGAGAGAGAGAGGAAAAAAACTCTTTTCTTTCCGACTTTTCTCCCGTCTGGGCACCCAAGGGGTAGACGTACACGTATATATAGGTATAACACCGAATGAGGAGCAAAGAAGCAGCGGCAGTAGGTACAGGTATTCGCGTGCCGTATATATACGAGAGAGAGAGAGTGGCTTTGAATAATTGTTATTGTAAGGACGTCTGTGCCGCTCGACGAATCTGACGTAGTTCTTTGTCTTCGGGAGACTGGCTTTCTCTCCTTCATCCACCTTTTGGCTTGGCCTTTATCGTCGAAGAATAAGTTGGTCGGGTGGGTGGTGGAGGAAAGAAAGAAAAAAAAAAAGAAAAAAAAAAAAAAACCTAGTTCCGCGATCGCAGCTCGTTATCTTGTCAGCGAAGCAGTTTGAAATACCAATCTCTTCCAAGAGATACGCCAGCACTTTGATAATATATAAGTAGGTATACACGCGCGATCGGTAAGGCAGTACAGCGACGCAACGTCATGGCGACACGAGGTAACGGCAAGCCACTGGCGCTGGTAGCGCTGTTGGTCCTGGTCTCGGGGATTCCCCAGCCGAGCAACGGGGCCGACAATAACTGGTGGCAACACGCCATCATCTACCAAGTGTACCCCCGTAGCTTCAAGGACAGCAACGCCGACGGCGTAGGCGACCTTAACGGCATAACCAGCAAACTCGAGCACATAAAGGAACTGGGGGCAACGGGGCTGTGGCTGTCGCCGATCTACGCCAGTCCTCAGGTCGACTTTGGCTACGATGTGTCCAACTTCACCGACATAGACCCCATTTACGGGGACTTTGCCGACTTTGACCGGCTCGTCGACAAGGCCCACCGGCTCGGGCTCAAGCTACTGCTCGACCTCGTGCCCAACCACAGCTCCGATCGGCACGAGTGGTTCCAGAAGAGCGTCAACCGCATAAAACCCTACGACGAGTACTACGTGTGGAGGGACGGGAGGATCGGGCCGAAAGGCGAACGGCTCCCGCCCAGCAATTGGCTGTCCGTGTTCGGGGGTCCCGCGTGGACGTGGAGCGACTCGCGCAAGCAGTACTACTACCACCAGTTCGTCCCGGCCCAGCCGGACTTGAATTACCGGAGCCCACTGTTGAGGCGGGAGATGGAGCGCGTGATGGAGTTTTGGCTGGGGCGAGGGGTCGACGGGTTCCGCATCGACGCCATCATCCACCTGTTCGAGGACGAGAGGCTGCGGGACGAGCCGCGCTCATTTAGGCCCGGGGTTCTCGCGGACGAGTACGAGTACCTCGAGCACCCGTACACCAAGGACCAGAACGAGACGTACGGCGTCGTGGCGGATTGGCGGGCGCTGATGGACCGGCACGGGCCCGGCAAGTACGCCATCGTTGAGGGCTCCTCGATGCGCTACTACGACGTCGGCGTCGACCCCTTCAACTTTATGTTCACGACCAAATTGAACAACGACTCGCGGCCGGCCGACTACGTCAGCGAGATACGGGGCTGGCTGGACAACATGCCGCGAGGACGCACCGCCAATTGGGTCACTGGTAATTGTACACTTTATTGCTCATTGCTTTCTTTATCCTGCATACACCCAATACTGCATCATCCCATACGCGGTGGTTCTCGTTTCATAATTGATCATTGATAACCGAGGATGGGGGTCCTGTTACGTAGAGCCGAGCAGATGCCGACCTGCACATTCTCAAGCTCGTCGCGCCCTCGTCATCAATCACTTTGTAATTACTGCACGGGAGCTGCGGGAAGCGTATATTATTTTGTCGCGACAGTATATTATATATACAGCTCTATCGATCGTAAGAAATGCCCGATGGTCGTTTCGTTAGATTATTCAGTTGGTTCACCTAATTTAATTGAAAGAACAACAAGAACAAAAAACATTTCAGGAAAAATCAACAAGACGATAAGTCTAAGCTTTTGGTGAAACAACCATGTTGATCCATCGTTAAAAATATGTATATCTACTTACGAGCTCATAAATTTGCGGACAAAGACTACGGAGATGTAAGTTATTTATATTGACTCAGCTCTTTTTTGTACAAAAATATTGTCTCTGCAAATGATGTTGGGGTAAAGCCCGATTGCAAGCTCCGTGATTATAAATTATGCGTTCGTTGGCACCTTTATTTCATTGTTTATTGTTGTTTATTGTTGTTTTTTTTTTTTATCATCTTCGCGATTGCCACGTGTGTGTAGGTAACCACGACACGAGCAGGGCAGGCTCGCGCCTCGGCTACAACTCGAACCGGTCGGACCAGCTGTCGATGCTCGTGGCCGTGCTACCGGGGCTCATGGTCATCTACAACGGGGACGAGATCGGTATGCTCGACCGGGCCATGAGCTACAAGGAGACCGTCGATCCGGCCGGCTGCCGGGCCGGGCCCCAGCGTTACCACATAAAGTCGCGCGATCCCGCCCGCACCCCGTACCAGTGGGACGCCACTACCAACGCCGGGTTCTCGACCTCGTCCAAGACGTGGCTACCGGTCCACGAGAACTACAAGACCCTGAACTTGGCCGCCCAGCGCTCGCCCTCCTCCCCCGCGACGACGCACTACAAACTGTTCCGCCGGCTGTCCATGCTACGGAAAATCAGTCCTCAGTTGAGCTCCGGCCAGGTCGAAGTGAGCGCCAGCCTCGACGGCAGGGCGCTCGGGGTTGTGCGCCGGCTGGCCCACCGTAGGCCGATCGCGCTGATCGTTAACTTTGCGGGGGTCGACTTGCACCTGGACCTGCGCACCTGGATGCACCTGCCCGACACGATGAGCCTCTACGCGGTGAGCGTCAAGTCTGGACTGAAGCTCGGGGCGATGGTCGATCTGAAGCGCAACTTCACCCTGCCCGCCGCAGCTACGGTCATTTTCATCTGAGTCATGATTTTTCTTTCTTTCTTTCTTTCTTTCTTTCTTTTTTTGATTCGAATCATTCGTACCGAATTTCGTAAAATTATGACAGTAAATCAATAATGAATGATCAAATGAAAACGTTGCACTTGATTAATCCGTCCAAGCCCACCATGTTTGTATACTCAGCGAAGAACGAGTTGAGATGTTTTTTGCTAGCTGTTGGCAAAACATGTATCGGAACAAAATTTATTTAAAAGTTTGATGGAATTTATCGGCTTGGTTGAATAAAAACCTTACTTTCGGGTTCCAAACGGATTATGTGTATATGAGAGTCAGAGTTGATGATGATTCAATTTGAAAAGTGGTATCCGAATGTAGTAATTAGCCCACCCTTGAACTTTCCGTACCTTTCGCGTAAATTAAAGTGCTTGTGTAGAGCTTTGGAGTGATCGTGCGTTTGCCTCGGATGAGAAAAGTGGAGTGTACAGGGAACGGCGAGTCTTTTGAGAGTCAGAGTAAAAATAAGACGAAATAGTGCAATGAGAACATGGACGGGAATATAGGGGGATGGGGGGCCAAGGAGTCACCGGCGAGAGAATATGAGTTGAAACGCTAGCACGGAAAGTTGTCTGGTCTTATTCGTCACGAGATAATACTTAACTTGGCACTTCTTAATTAACTCTTGGATTCTCAAGAGGCTTGGAGCGTACTTTGCACACCAGTCGTCCATTCAGTATACACGATGCTTTGCACTGGAGTGCAAGACAGCCAGACCTTGGAAGTGTTGCCCTCGTACTTTATGTATGTGAATTATTTTACAGATTTTTTTTTTTTTTTTTTTTTGCGAAACGCTATCATATATCGGTACAAATGAAAAAAAAAAATTCAAAGCACGTCAACTTTTGATGGATAGCGTCCAAGTTGATGGTCTGTCATTGTAAGTTTGCAGCTGATCTCGAGGTGTAATAATTTATAAAAACTGAATAATTATTTTTCTGCACCAATGCATGGTTAGGTGTGGAATTTCGAAAATGCGAAAAATTACGGTATAAATGACGTATTAGTCTTTTTTTGGATTTTTTTTTTAATTTACCGCTAACGAGATTAACGTTTTTCCAGTTTTATTTTCGTACAGGAAGTCAAATTGACCTACTTTCTCGCGTACCACCTCATTCTGTTTGATTTTTTTTTTTAATTATGTTTGTTTTCTTAAAAAAGCATATTGATCGTTAGTGTTGCTACAGCACATGTTTACGAGTAATTTAATAATAAAGAAAATTCACTCGTTGTGTGATTTTGGAAAAAAATGAAATTTTAAAATAAAAGAAATTGTACACGTAAACCCACATTTTATCGGACAACTGCTTCGATGGAAAGCAAATTTTGTGTTTTTCCCTCTCACGATACGGCGTCTTAATAATTTATCTTTGGCAGAGTTGGTGAAAAGTGTCATCACTGTGCCGGGAAAACAAAGGGAACGGAGGAGAGAGGAAAAAACTTGCGAAAAAGTTCAAAGGAAAAGTTTGCCCAGCAGATTCACTCGTGCTTGTTCGAGTACTTTGCGAATGGCTTGCTGTCACGGTTGGAAAATTATTCGGTAAATCAAAGGGAATTTCGATGAGACGCGTTTCAACATTACCGTAATTAGAGGCGAGAAAACGCAAAAAAGAACGTCGCGACGTTGAATTTATTAAAAAGTTTGCCATCTCTCGGCCGATTCGACTTTCTGTGTGGGTGAACGAAAAATAAAAAAAAAACAAGATTCAACGGTATATGTCCCTTTGAGCCTCAAATTACGAAGGAGAGAGTACGATTTCCGTGACGCCGTTGTACACACATAGATATATACTTGGTTATTGGACAGAATATTGAGCGCCACCGAAATCGTACTCGTGACAATACGAAATATAAGTAACCACTAGTGATACGGCAAGTTTGCACTTTGACATAAAAACGCGTAATTTTCACTCGCTAGAAAAGAGAAGGCTTTTTTAAACTGGCTGCTCTCGTGGCGAAAACGATCAAAGAATAAATGTTACGGAAATGAAATTGTTTCCTAACCGATTTTTTGGTCACTCCGTGTGGCAAATTTTACTTTTCGTGCACCTGCGTTGTAAGCGATACATTTTTGTTGCGCATTGATGCACGAAAAGGTACACTCAAAATTGAAATCCTGAGCATAATTGGTGCTTGTGGAGGTGTTTGTTGTTGATGTATATACCCTCCACTTGTAGAAATCACCGATTAATCCACTTGTTCTTGTTACATTGTGCACGAACCATACATATAAATTACAACCAATTGTTATTTTGTTTTCCGACAAAGCTTTACGTATCAAAACGTGTTGTCAAGTACTATGGGATTGTAGTCCAATAATGCCATTGGTATATAGGAAAAGAAAAAAAAAAAAAAAAAAAATTTTTTTTCAATCCATCATTAACCACTAGCACTTTGACAATACTTTGACGAATTTGTTTATTCGCGCGTTATCACCTACTCTCTTTCAATACACGTTGTAAAACAATAATATAACTATTGCTCGCACTTGCAATCGAAACGTTCAATATATTTCCGTACATTGTATATGCATTGCTTGAAACAAGCACGGACTGCGAAATGAAACCAGAGTCTATGACGGTATCCTTCGCAATGAGGTATATTATAGTATACCGACTCGTGTGTGTATATTTGTTAATAAACGCGTGCGTGTACCATGTATGATACGTACAGTGCAGAAGCGCGGTTCAGTCCTGTGCTACGTGCATGTTACACGCGCAATGCTCTGGATACCCTTTTGCCGGTCACCCACGAGGGATCAGGAGCCTTGCTCTATATGTATATGTATACGGGTATGAGCGGCCAACACGATCGACGTTACTTTGGTGGTTCATCCCCCATACGTTGCCTGAAAACATCGATGCGCAATACCGATGACCTGTTCTTCCCACCTATACTCCCAGGCCGTACCCAGACCTCGTGCAGTCGGATTAAACGAACGAGCGCTTTCGACGAATTACCACGGCTAATTGTGCGGGGTTTTTTCGACGCGAATGCGTGTTCAGCGACTCTCTCTCTCTCGTTTGTTTTTTGTACCTTCAGTAAATGAAATTTCCGAACACGCTGATTCCGTGCATTCCCCACGGGACGTAGTTCGTGAAACGCGTGTGCCTACACGGGGTATGTACAGACAGGCACATACGTCGGGTTATCATCGGGAGAGGTGGTCGGGGTGGTGGGGAAATAATAAAAAAAAAAAAAAAAAAAAAAAAGGGGGGGGGGAAAAAAAAAAAAAAAAAAAAAAGAAGGGGTCGCGCAACGAGGGCTCGCGACACGGCTCGGGGCTCGCGTCTGCGGGGGAAAATCGAGCGAAGCGAAAGCCCATAGTAAGACTAGCTTCACTTGCTTCTTGGCTACCTACGGGTAATATGTATACATCCACAGATATGTATGCATATATACATATACCCACGCAAAGCTCTTCGCGCGCAGAGCAGACCGAGTTGGCGATATATATATAATACGTGGTCGTACCTACTCTCTGTCGAGTACCGTACCACTACGATGATAGCCGAGCAAGCTTCAAAGGGGAAGTTACCTGGCTGCAGGCGTGGAGCTTGCGAGCAGTGCTTTTTCGTTCCCCTCATTCGTTTCGCAAGTCGTCATATCGTCTTTACGTATAAGAGCTTATGAATTCTAACGTGGGCACGATTTCGGATGCACTTCGATTTTTGTCTTTCTCCTTGGACCACGAAATCGCTCTTATCAGTTTTTATTTATATTTTTTTTTTTGGGGGGGGGGGAGGTGTCAAAATCATTTTATTATTATTATTTCGTTTTATTTTTTTCATTGTTAAATTATATAACTAAACTGTTGTGGGATTTCGAAAAAAAGCATGAAAATGTTGAAAAAAAATAAAATAAAACAAAAATTTATTACCACGTTAATTACGAGTGAGAAGTAATTAAATTTATCTTTGATTAAAAATTGGAACAATCACTCTTCCAATTATACATAGCTATGTAGGGAGGCTGAAAATTAATACACTTTTCCAACAAAGTATATGTATCGTTGTTAATTTTAACTGAAAATTCTAAATTAATATTCATTCATGTCGTTAACAGATACACGGATGGTAACGTGTATCGGAGGGGAAAAAAATAACCCATCTTGATGGTCCGCGTGTATCGTAATACATGAATACAGTCCTTTGTTTTATGTGACTTACGGACCGTATGTTTAGAAATGCGTGCATGAGAAATTAGTTGTCTAAAGGTGCGAACCAAGTGCCAACCTCCAGACCCACGAGGGACAAAAACCGCAGCCTCGGCCACACACTGTGCTACCGTTGCCCCATACCTACGTACATAATACATTATATAGGGCTTTCCCACCTTTTGAATTCAATTCTCTTTAATTTCAACGAGCATAATGTTGGAGCCACTGGGTACGTTACAGGTATACGTGGACTATTGAACTCGACTTTCGAAACACACAAAAGGGCCAACTCCTTTCTTTTGTAATTTTCAACCGACATAACCGACATAACCGACGGCGTCCAACAAACTGTATACCCGACGTTATCTCCTCCCGCGATGTTGTAACCCGCTCCGACGACTGAAGAAGTGACGGGGAAAGAAACTGCTTGTACTGTTTTTTTTTGTCCTCACAGGCAGTGGCTGGACAGGCTAAATAATAGATCAATGAAGAAGATGCACTCCATACGGCCAGATAAGAAACTCAACGGGCTCGAGCTGAATAATTCAATAGCCCTGCCAAGCGTGTGTACCCAGCTCCCGTCCATATACACCGTCAGGCCGCACTGACAGGGACCGGCTAAACATATAGAGCACACACGACTCACACCCTGTATCGGTATATATTATACACCGGGTAGGTATGGCGAAACAATATAGCTTAAGCCCAGCTCAGCTTTGTACACATGTACACCTGTACTTATATATACTTGGAATATTTCACCCTTGCATACATGTATATACAGAGTACATACACATTATATATATATATATATATACACGCGTACTGCACTTGGGTGGGTGTGTATTGGCAATAACCCCCTTTTCTTCTCCACTACCACATTGCCCCAGTACGAAATTAGCCACACGGCGATGAGACTCCAGGCTGGGGGGGGGGTGCAAGTATAAGCAGGAACTCTATACACGTGTACAAAAGTCGTGTGGTGCTCAGTGGCTGCGCAACTTGGCTAAAGCCGCGGAGCGGCTATTACCCAGTGCCGTGTCCTGAATCCACGAACCGACCGGACACTTGTTTCCTCGTGTACTTATACATATACACCTTCCCCTTGCGGGTGTATACATATATATGCTACATCCGCGTATAGGTATGTACATGAATGCACTCAACGTCCACCCAACACGTGGGGCCCGTATGGCCTTTTTGGCATTCGCAATCGCGTCACGCGCGCCCAGCGTCATTTATATGCGCGCCGTGGGAAGCGCCTCCCGCGACTGCCCCTTACCCCCCCCCCTCCTCTCTCTCTCTCTCTGCGCCTCGTTCCTCTTTTTCTCCCGATATACCGGTGTGTATATGTATATACGCACACATACGAATAGGAACTCGGAGATCAAATTGTTCCCTGCCTTTCTACACCCGAAACTTTTCGATCAATCGTCGATGTACACCTATACACCCCCGTGCTTCTTCGTCTCTTCGACTCCACTTCCGCATCCCCTCTCCGACCCGCGCTATAGAATCATCGGCAAAAAGGGAGACGCGCGGGGGTTTCTTGTCCTCGTTTCTTCGGGTTTCGGGATCGAAGTGTAATTGATTCATCTACATTACCCTTGATCCGATTGTTACTTCAGCGCGTACCCGCATAAATGCGAATAATTATATCGTCGGCCACCCACCCGTACAGTCCCACTCATCCGTACGGTCCTTAAGCGTATACCTGGAAATGAGCCAATCATCGCCTTTTTTTTCCTTTGCTACAATTTTTTTTTTTTTTTTTTTTTCTTTTATTAA